ACTCTTCAAGTCTTGAAATGTTGCAACAAAAACGGTCAAGACAAAACGTGTCACAGGATTCCTCCAGAGGAAATTTCTTCGTCAATCATTTAAAGAGAAATATTAGGGCTGCCGGAAAGCGAGCTGCGTTGCAATTTTTTGACGGTTCATTCTTCGGAGTTAAAGCTATCGAGCGATATTTTCATTTACAAGCTCACCGATCAAAACTAACAGATTTTACAAGAACGCCGGCAATCACCCTCTTTCCCACTTCCGCTTTCAAACATCTTCGATAATATAGCTCGTAACAACGAAATTATTATCAAACTAGTGCAAATCAGTACCTCTGCTGCAGCTTGCTTACATCGATGAAACGAGCGGATTCCGGATTTTGCTCAAGAATTAGAGATAAAGCACGTCTGAATTCTCCGGCGGTGATCATTGGGACTCCGGGGCAGCACATTTTTGTGGCTTCCTCTGAATTACCACCGCAGCTTTCGCACGCTTCACGTAATTTTTCGACTTCATGCAACCTGAATGGAAAATATGCACGCAGAATGCTGCTGAAGTAGAAGAACTATACGCTCGGTACGGCGCTTTTTTGCTAAAAACTAACAAAATATTCATGTGGAAGAACGATAAGTGGCATGAGTGCCATCCACTCCGAATGTTCTTTTCAATAGGCACTCATATCTCATTAAAATAAATCGAAGACGATACCAGTGTCCTTGGATTTCGAGCAAAGAACAATGCATTTTCTGTGCAATAGTTTGCCATGGCAAAAATGACATCGCCTTTTTTTGGTCTTCCACCATTGCAAAATCAGCAGCATTCCAGGAGAGCCTTTCAGGAAGCATGTCCTGCAACTCCAATGGGCATCGCCTCGGAGAAAGCCACTTTGTGACGAAATCTAAAAAGCAGCAAAGCTCACAAGCATCGAGGAAATGGAAGCCAAATTTTCTAAACTGTCTGAAGCACACACTTCAATGAGGCCCAGCAGCAGTTAGCTTATACTGGTCGATTTCTTGAAATTCAGTGGCCTTTGGTACAAGGTAGCTCTCTACTTCTCTGCTTGCTACAGTAAAGTCCCTAGCAAAAATTACAGCTGACTTCACCCTCCTTGCAACCGAGCAGACTACTAGAGTCATGCTGAGCTGGCACTTATAAAGAAAACCCGAAATGTACCCTTCTATTTTATTTTTCACACACTCCGGCCAGCATGCGCGGATTCATTAACGACTCCAAAAGAAACAACTCCCGAAATCAGTAGGACTGTGCACTACACGTGCAGTTGCAGTACCAATCCAAAAGTGTCACAAAAACGACAGTCACTTAGTGCACGTAAATACAAGTGGAAGAAAACTGAGCACCATAGAGCGTTTGTCGAGCACTGTCATTCAACTCTTTGCTGACGAATTCGGCCTGTTCTTCCTTCAGCCGCTTCATTCGTATCCGATAATTGACAGTTGTCTGCGACACTTTCAAGCAAATGCTTATTTGTTTGGACGTAAGACCCGCGCTGAGCAGCTCCTCGAACTGTTTCTCCATTTCATCACTCCACTTTCGTTCGGATCGCTCAGTGCTGAACACTTTTCTTTTTAACACGACAAGGAATGGCGACAAAAAACAGGGATTGCTTCAATTGTTTTTCTTGCAATCGTAATAACACCACTCCTCTGGTAGCAGACTGACCACCAAGTGATGCAGCTTCAGAAGCACCAACCAGTACCACAGAAAAATCGTCGGCAACTGCACAGACAGTGCAAAAGGTGCGACGGAAGTTCACCAATATTTGTCATTGCTCGAATAAAACAAAGCAAACAACGGGATGAGATGAACGGCGACAAAAAAAAAATGTCATTTAAAAAAAAAAGAAACAGAAAAACATGGCAAATACAGCGATACAAAAATAGGCACAATGCATAACTGAGCTCAGAGGAATGCTGACCTGCTCCTCGCATAGGGATG